CTCCTTTACATCCCAAAGCCTTCGGAGCGCTAAAGCTTGAAACACAGGAATGGGACCAAGTTGCCTGCGGTTGTTAACCCACTGTGACCGGGGGGGGGGGGGGGGGGGGAGGGAAAAGCAGGGATGGTGAAGCAAACCAGGGACGTGCCCATCCCCCAGACATCCATGTGGTTTGAGGATCCTACCTTCTATCACGGCGTAAGGAACACACTTCCCTGGTGCTTCCATAAGGAAGGTCTTCAAGTCCTGGTCAAGGGTGACCTTTTTGGCTCCCTAAAGTTGCGGGGGGGGGGGACAAAGAGGAATTTTTGGTAAAAGCCTCCTCCGAATCAGCAGCTTGGCTACAGCCACGCCATGGGCAAAGGACAAGAGAACTCATCAACCACACGACACTCGTCTGCTGCAGAACCGGTTCCAGCTCTGAACCCACAGACATCATCTAAGCAAGGCGGCTGGGAAGAGCCAGACGCCAGAAGATCAGGACTTGCTAGCTAGCAACAGGTCGGAGAAGGGGTCGAGAGAGGAAAGTGAGCCACTGGCTCAGCTGCCGGGATCTCGTAACGGACTTCTTCCTCCTGATTTGACTGTTCCTGCCAAAATCGGTGGTCTCCTCTCCTACTTCCTTCGGTCCCAACCACCATCAACACAAGCTAAAAACCTGAGGTGGAGGGCTGGGCATGGGGAACCCTACGGATCAGGTTTTCGAGGGCCACTGAGGGCTGCTGGAGAAGCAGGAAGCCCCACCCGTCACTCGTGTTAGCTGCCAAAGGACCCCACTTGGATCTGGGGACAGGGCAGGGGTACCTAGTAAGCCCCAGCAGGCTCTGATTTTATTTTCTTATTTTTTGCTTTATTTAAATAAGTGCTGGGTCCCTTTGTCATGCTCTGAAGGGAGCCTACGCCTCTCCTGTGTTTTTTTTTAATATATATGTTTCAGCCACATAGAGAGCATAAGGGGTCTTTTTACTCAAAACCATACTGAGGGTTCAGGATCAGACATGCCCCTCCAAGGGTGGTTCTCTAGAGATGGCTGTCCCCCTGTGTGGGAAAACAGACAAGGCACGGTGGAAAAGCTCCTGTATTGCTACTTTTAATTGGGACTTTATTCATCCCTTCCAAATGCCCAGGGATTGGAAACGTCAGCGAACCAAAGGGCAATTATCTAAAGTAATAAGGAGCCACGGACCTTCAGGCTATGAGCCACTTTTGACTTGTGCCTGTAAATGGCGTACAGGATGGCCGTAACTGCCGAGCTGGTCGCCAGGAGGATGACTTGGCCCGTGGAAGGGCGCCCGGCAGCATCCATCGTTACAGTCCGATCCTGATGTATATCTCTGGAAGGGAAAAACAGAATGGCTCTAGATTAATCGGACGAGAAACTTTAACCGTTTCCAACGTTGGCTGAATAACAAGCCTTTCAGTCATGCCTAAGCACGGCATAGCCACAACAGAATCACACTGAGTTGAAGGGGCCTGTAAGATCATCAAGTCCAACCCCTGCTCGAGACAGGAATTCCAATCAAAGCAGATCTGACAGAGGGTGGCCAAGTTTTCTCTTTGAAGGCCTCCAGCATTGGAGCACTCACCACCTCCCGAGGCCATGGGTTCCGTTGTCATACTGTTCTAACAGTCAAGATCTTTTTCCTAACATTCAGCCTAAATCTGGCTTCCTGCGGCTTCAGCCAATTATGACGTGTCCTGCACTCTGGGATGATCAAGAACAGATCCTGTCCCTCCTCTGTATGACTTCCTTTCAAGTAATGCCATTTCTACACCACAACAAAGCTCCTGGGTGCAGATGGGACTGGGAAGGTTTTCTTTACTTTTTTACAAAAAGGAGAAGCCAACATCCCGGCATTTCCACGTTTGAAAAAACACTGGAGAAAAAAATGGATTTTAAAAACTGGCATAGCCCACAGAAGATGAAAATCCGCACGGGAACCACAGGGTCTGTTCACCTTTGCAGAGTAGAACACAATCCCTCCACCCTCCAAGCAGCTTCTTCGTGTCCAGATTCATTTTGCGTGCATTTGCAACAGTCTTTTTTTACAAGTGTGACGTGGCTGAACTGGGCATGTCAAGGCTGCTTTTCAGTCAGGTTGGGGGGAAAGTTTGGGTCAACAGCTAATAGCTGGTTGAGCTTCCACTGAACAGTGTGGTCGCACAGAATGGTTTTCCTCGCACAGATCCTGCTCTCCCCCAAGAAGAGAAAGGGCTTTCTCCATGGAAATCATTGCCTACATAATGTTGGGGCAGTCCAATTCTGTATTACTAGATGACAGAAATTGGGGTGAAGCTCAATACGGGCTAGTGACTCTGAATTCAAATACAAAAGTTTAAACAATTTAATTCAGAAACTACATTCCTCTCCCTTTTTAAAAAACATAACTCTCATTGCACTTGTACCAAGCAAAAATGAATTAAATGCTCAGACAGACACACACCTACCAGCTGAACGCAGGCACTTGTTTCAGGGTTTCCAGCCTGACTGAGAATGAATCACTGCCTAGCTAACAGCTCTTTCCTCCTTTTCATTTCTGGAAAGTTTGATTCTTTCACTTTTGGTTCTTGTGAAACAGTTACATATGACTTTGTGGCTTGGTGCTTCCTGGGAGGGGAAGCCAGGCCAAGAAAGGCAGAGGAGTTGGTTAAAGAGGGTTAGATAATATAAAGAAGCTGATCAGCCACTTTCAGCCAACAGATGCAATGGGCAATGTGACATTTGAGACTCCACACCAGGGAAGTCTGGCTTTAATTTATGTGATCCCTGCGACCAGCCCTGGTTAGCCATCTGGCTGCACCCTTTTGGACCCATTGAAGTCTCCTGGCCCTTCCCATCGGCAGCCCCACACAGAGCGCCTTGCAGTAATCCAGCCAGAAGGGCCTGCATGACCGGGGCCAGACCAAATCTCTCCAGAGGCGGACATCATTGCTGGCGCATTAAGTTTCCATCGTGCAGAGGCGCTCCTGGCCGCCTCAATGCCCTTGCAAGAGGGATGTGCCTATTCAAGCCACATGTCTCTGCTCCCGCCTTCTTCAGTGGCTCAGGTAAAAGCAAAATAAAGAAATCAACAAACTTCTAGCCAGCGCAACTGAAGAAGGCGACAGTCAAAACAGGCCGGTTAAAAATTTCCGTTTGTAAGTCACTCTAGTCTTTCAGCTCTTTAAAAATCAATGATAAAAAGAAACTCTCAGGGCCTCTCTTTTTGCTTCCTCTGAACCCATCAGTTTCAGTATCACAGTAATAATAATATTAATAATGATGATGATAATAATAACAACAATAACAATAAAAATAATAGCAAAACTATAGGACATTGAATAATAGTAATACCTTGATGCTGAATTTTTTGTTTTTCTAAGTGTACGGTGGTGGGGAACACAGTTATATTGTATTTTGATTTGTGTATTTTATGTTTATGCGTATGTTTTAGATAAATAAAAATAAAAATAGAATTAAAAATAAAGTCTGTAATTAACTAATGGGCTTTTAATTACTATTGCACTTTTACTGATTTTAAAAAATTATAAAAATGTGTGTTTTCCGTAATTTCTTCTGCTGTCAGGGTAACTTTGTCTCTCTCCTCCTCTTCCCCCACTTCCCACCCAAGCCAGGAGAAAGGCAGCCTACATATGATAGACAGTTGTGAGGCGTTACCTATCCCAGACTACAACTCCCATCATGCACCAGCCAGGAAGGCCACCTTTCCAAGTCCGGGCTAGTACCGCACCAGGGCGACATCCCATAATAATAACTATCCCATAATGCTCTCGCAAAGGCATAGCAAACCCCCCCCTTCTCGGCTCCCCAAGTCACCTCCGGCCCCCTTTCCCCATAGCAATGCGGCCTCCCCCTCCTCCGGAAGCCCGTCCCCAAGGCTCCCCATCCCTTTGTTCCCATGGCAACGGTACCACCAACCACATCCGGCCTCAGGCGGAGAAACGACCTCCTTCGCCGCTCTCGGTGGTCTCCTCCACTCCACTTCCGGGAAAAGCCACGCCCACCGCATCCAACGACGTTCGATGACGTCCAGAAGAAAGTAGGGAGGGGTCCACCATAGAGCTGGAGTGGGGGGCTAGAAGGGCACAAGCTCCCATTTCCGGCCACCTCAGCGACGCGTTCAATTGACTCATAGACGTCTGAAAAGTGAAGATGGGTCGCTTCTTTTTCTTCTAGAGGAACTTGCAGGTTCCTTTTGACACCATCTCCGTTTTGTTTCTCTTTTTTCTCGCGTCTGTTTCTCTAGTTGGAAAACAAAAAAGAAATTATAGGAGAAAAGGGGGATTTCACCTCTTCCCTTAATTAATAACCCTGCTCAGATTTTGCAAACTCAAGACCATGGTTTCTTTTCCTGAGTCAAGTCATCTCCTAGGTGGGCCTCCTCTTTTCCTACTGCCTCCCACTTTCTCCTAGCATTATTGTTCTTTCCAGTGAGTCTTTTCTTTTTTTTCATTATCTGCAATGTATGATAATCTCAATTTTAGTCACATCTGTTGTTATGGACAGTTCAAGCCTGATTTGATCTTATTTGTCTTTCTGGTGGTCCATAATAACCAGAAAGTTGATCTCCAATAACAAAGTTGGAATGAATCAATTCTTTTTTGCCCAGCTTTCACATCCATATATAGAAATCAGAAACATCATAGAAGGATCTTGGCCTTGATCTCTGGCAACACCTCTTTAGATTTGGTGGTCTTTTCTCATTCCTTCACAGCTGCTCTTCTGTGTCTCAGTCTTTTTCTGATTTCTTGGCATTCAGTCCATTTGGATGGATGACTGCACCCAGGCCTAAATAACAAGTTCAGTGTCTTCACTGTCAACATTGAAGTCATGGAATTCTGTAAATACAATTTCTCTCGCTTAATATTCAACTGCAATCCTGCCTTTGCACTTTCTTCTTTCGCCTTCATTGGGACCCATTCTAAGTCATTTCCTATTCTGCGGGTGCGATAGCATCATCTCCCTCTCTTAAACGATTTGCCTTTCTTCCACCAGGTCTTAACTGCTCCTTCATCTGATTCTAACCCAGCTTTCCACGTCAAGGAAGATACCTTTAAAGCAATTTAAAGGGGGGCAATTTGTGGATCACAATGCCCATCAGCCTCTATCTTTCAGCTTGCTGGCTAGAACTGATGAGGGTTGTAGTCCAACCCCATCCAGATAGCCACAGGTTGATCCCCATCTTCCGTAAAGATACAGCCATGCATTCAGTGAAATCTCACTATTTTATTTAACCTGTCTCCTTTCCGGAGAGAACACTGAGGTTAGAAAAATTACTCTCTCTCTCTTTTTTTGGCATTATATTTCCCAGAATTCCTTGGCGCCCCTTCGAACTTCTGCAGCCCCTAGCAGGGGTGGTGGTGGGGAAAACCCCTTACATTACTAGAGCTAGGATTTTGTGCACAGTTTCAGGGGACTTTTAACTACTCCCCATTTCCAATCTCCCTGGACATCAAAGTTTGCAAATATTATTTTTTTCAACTCTAAACCCCAACCTTTCAGGGTGCAACCCCCAAAAAAGAACAGGGAGTCCATCCTGCCCTTCTCTTCTCAGCCTCTTCTCGTCTTTCCTGTTCCACGAGCACCATGGTGCTGAGCATCACAATTGAGTTAGATTCCATTGGAAGCTGAACTCTCTCATGCAGAGCGGTGAGCTATGCCTGGGTCTCTTAATACCAACCTTTTCCTCTTTGACCGTGTGCGCCACGGCTCCCGGCGACTGGACCGCTCAGATGCCTCTTCCCACTGGCCCAGAAGCTGCGGGAAGTTGACCAGCCAGGGTGGCCCACCCTGCCCATCGGGGAACATGGGTCCGTGGGTGCCCTTCGGCGTTCGTGTTCCGAGCAAGGAAAGCAGAGAGGGACACCTCTTCTTGTGCAAATGTATCTGAGGGCCCCAGAGCTTTTAAAAGTTACTTTAGGATCACAGCTTCCTAAATTCCCTGACCCGCATGCCGTGGTAGGGGATTCTGAGAGATGTGGTCCAAAAAAAAAAAAAAAAATAACTCTTCTAAACTCTACAGCTGCTCTTGGGGTGCATCAGATTTACCCTTTAGGTTCAGGTCCTGGAAATGGATGAAATGGCATGTCTCCTGAATGCCACGTCATGTATTCACTAATTAGACTTCACTCAACTCAAGCTGGCATGACCTAACCAGGATGATGATGGGACTGGGAAGCAAGCCCTAGGAGGAAAGAATAAAATCTAATGCCTTGGGAGACGGAAACAAAATTCAAAAAGATCTTGATAGGCTTGAGGACTGGGCTGGAAATAACAGGATGGAATTAAATTTAACGAGGGATAAGTGAAAAGTTCTACACCTGGCTTTTTGGGGGGGGACCAAATGCACAGTTACAAGATGGGGGATACTTGAGTCAGTAATACTATAAGCAAGAAGGATCTTGGAATTGTTGTAGATCAAAAGCTGAATATGAGCCAGTGGTGTGATGTGGCTGCAGAAAAGGCCAATGCTATTTTTAGGGTGTATTGACAGAATCATAGCTTCCATATCCTGTGAGGTGCTCGTTCCCCTCTCTTTGGCACGGGTTAGGCCTCACCTTGAGTCTTGTGTCCAGTTCTGGACACCACACTTCAAAAAGGATGCTGACCAATTGGAGCAAGTTCAGAAGAGAGCCACAAGGAAGATCAGAGGGGCTGGAAACCAAGCCTTATGAGGAAAGATGGAAAGAGCTGGGCACGTTTAGCCTTGAGAAAATAAGACTTCGAGGGGAGATAGGAGGGCACTTTTCAAAGACTTGAAAGGCGGTCCGACAGAGGGAGGGGTAGGATCTGTATTCATTCCTCCCAGAGTGCAGGACACATAATGACGGCAGCCAGATTCAGGCTGAATATCAAGAAAAACCTCTTAACTGTTAGAGCAGTACAACAACAGAAACAATGACCTCAGGGGGAGGGGGGGCGAGTGCTTCAAGGCTGGAAGCCTTCAAGAGAAATATGAGACCACCGTCCGTCCAATCTGCTTTGATTTGTGTTCCTGCCTTGAGCAGGGGGTTGGACCCGATGGCCTTCGAGGCCCGTTCTGACTCCATGACTCTGATTCTTCTTCCTCCCACTTCATTCATACAACACCAGCCCTGCAAGGTAGGAGAGGCTGATCCTGTGAGCGACTCCCCCACGGGTCTCAAGGAGGGAGTTTCATGTCTCATGTTGCCTGTCAAAGGAGTGGTTCTCCCCTTCCCTTTCTTCTGGGGTTATTCTTGGGCTGTGTCACTTTGCCCAAGGCCACCCAGGCTGGCTTTTCTCCTGAGAGGCACAGGGAGGGGAGAGGACTCGAACTCCAGACTCAGCCGTCCGGCCAATCCCTCACAACATCGCTGTATAGCTGTGTTTTATACCCTAAGCTAGCAGCTTGCTGTGTTCATATGAATACCAACCAACACTATCGCTATATACAAAGTAAATAACTTATCTGTAACTGTAACTAATCACTTTTCAAAATATATTTATCTTACATGCTGGCTTTCATCTTTTGTTGGTTTGTTTGCCTTTCTCCTTCAAAGGACCCCGGGCAGTTTATTTATTTATTTATTTTTTTATTTTATTTTATTTATACCCCGCCCATCTGTCCTATAAGGCCACTCTAGGCGGCTTCCAATATAATATAAACAAACAATAAAATAATACAAAATATTACATAAATCATACTATAACAAATACAATACAAAGATAGAATAGAAAATAAATAAAGGGAGAATAAACAGAAAAATCAGGTATTAGCTGGAGGGAAGGCCTGAATGTACAGCCATGTTTTTAATTGACTTTTAATACCTGCAGTATTTCAGTAAAACACAAAGATAGTTCCACAAAGCTGAGGTTTTTCCTTCTCTAAAAAAGAACTTAATCATGTGTCACTTGACTTCCTTTTCCCCCCTTTACAGGTTTATCCTAGATATGAGGGAAATTCTCCTGGCTCTTATCCTGGGGGCAAGCGGTAAGTGTTAAAATAAGAGAGTCCATCTGTATATATACCTAGTTTTAACCCCAAGATCGGTTTGCTGTGGGATTCTGGCAGTTGTGGCCCACTTTTCCAAATGTCGTCAAAGTTCATAGCTAGCATCCTATTGCGGAGGATGCCTTTGGTTCTGTGGGCCATTCCTTCTTCCCTGGCAATTGTGCAAGGGGTGGGCAGGATCTAGTGACCCCTCACACAAGCAGGATCCTTCCTCCCATAAGCCTTCAATGGGGTAATCTCCTAGGTGGTTCACTGCAGACCCGGGATCTACATTTCTCAACAGCGATCATACAAAAAGGGCTGGTTCTAGGACCCTGTGGGAGGCCCGAAAAGTAATTTTCCCCCCACCTCTGCTTTTGCTTTTGGAGTTTTCTGCGCCATCAGCAGCAGCCTCCTCAATTTCAAGGTGATGATCGAAAGGATCACCAAGAGAAACGCTCTCATCTATTACAACGGATACGGCTGCTACTGCGGAAAGGGCGGGCGAGGGAAGCCGAGGGACAGGACAGATATGTAAGTGTGGTGGGGAGCTTAGTCACGGGGAGTCCTGTTCTTCCCTTCTACAGCACCCATGATTCCCATTTCTAGTGTCTCCGAAATTGCCCCCCCCAACCCACTGATGCTGAAAACCACAGATTACGTATAGCAAACACTACAGTGGTGCCTCACAAGATGATGTTAATTCGTTCCACGAAAAACGTCTTGTGAAAACATTGTCTTGCGAAACACGGTTCCCCATTGGAATGCATTGAAATCTAATTAAAGCGTTCCAATGGGAAAAAAATCATCTTGCGAAAATCGTCCATAGAAAACATTGTCTTGCAAAATGCAGTTTCCCATTGGAATGCATTGAAATCTATTTAATATGCTCCAATGGGGGAAAAACGTCGTCTTGTGAAAATTGTCCATAGAAAACATCATCTTGCAGTGATCGCAAAAACCAATTGTCTTGTGGATTAATCGTCCCGCGAGGCAATCACCTTGCGAGGCACCACTGTATTAGAATAGCAAATATTATACACATGGTCTTTGGCTCCCTCTAGTAGTTAGCTCTTTTTAATAGTTTTGAATCTGCAGATACCGATTCTGCGGATAAGGGACGCCTGCAATGGTTTTTTAAAAAAAATAAAACTCCTAGAAGTTTTAAAAATCCAAACTCCATGAAAGATCATGTAGACAGATGGTCTTATTCAGAGATAGGTCCTTGAGGCTGCAGGTAGAGAGTCTAGGGCCACCCAATAAAGTTCCGCTTGCCTTATTCTGCTTTAAGGCCCGTGGCTCTCTCTTGAAATATCTGGAGCCCATGTGGTTCACATAAGGATCTGGGAACTCTGCATGACCAAAGAGCATTCCTGTTCCCTGATCAGTCCTAGGATGAAATCACATCGATTCAAATGGCACTCAAAAAGGCCTTTAGAGTCACTTGAAGGTTAAACTACAAATACCTGTAATGCAGTTTCAGACTGTTTTATACTCTGGTAAGTCTATGTGGCCCTGATTGGAACTCACCTCCCTCCTCTACCCTCTTTGGAGTTTTTTTTAAGGCAGCCCTGACACACACATACATAGAGTTGAAAATAAAGAAAATATCAGCCGGTGGGGCTCTTAGTTTTTTTTAAAAAGTAACTTTTCCAAGTTCTGTCAATGCCCACAGGGGTTCTGCCTCCGTGGCAAGAATGAGTAACTATCAACAATCTTGCATAACATCCTTTTCAACTCCACCGCTTGATTCTTTCCTAGGAATGCAGGTTAACAGAAGTTAACAGCAAATTAACAGGAAGTTTTATAAAGGCTCGATGTACAGTGGGGTCTTGACTTGAGAACTTAATCCGTATTGGAAGGCGGTTCTCAAGTCAAAAAGTCTGTAAGTCAAGTCTCCATTGACCTACAGTGCATTGAAAACCGATTAATCCCGTAACAGGCCGTTTTTGTTCCATTTTGGTTTTTTTTCTGGTCTGTAAGTCAAATCTCAGTCTGCAAGTCAAACCTAAATTTTGCGGCCAGAGAAGTCTGTAACTCAAAAAGTCTGTAAGTCAAGCCGTCTGTAAGTCAAGGGTCCACTGTATTCTCGAAGGCTTTTGCGGCCAGGATCCGATGGTTGTAGATTATTCAGGCTGTCTGACCATGTTCTTGAGGTTTTATAAAGGCCATTGGTCTATAATATTGTACCATGAGATAATATGTACTGTATAAGCTTAGAGGGATAGTGGCTAGGCATCAATCTGCTAGCTTGCTCTTATCAGGCCAGGCCAGGCAGAATGCTTCTCCTTTGCTTTTGTATAGCTCTTCCTTTAGACAGATATGTTTTGTCTTCCTCAAGGTGCTGTTTCAACCACGACTGCTGCTACGAGCGCTTGCACCAGCGGAAGTGCCACCCATACATTGATCACTACAGATACCTGATCATCAATGGCGATGTTCTTTGCAGTGAGTTGCGACTGTATTGCTGAAATCCAAATGGACTTTTCAAATCCTTTCCCGCACCGTTCAAAGAGGTGGTTGGGGTTCCATCAAAAGGATCAGTTTGGCCATCGATACCGAGTTGCCTGTGATATAGCAGCAGCATCATATTCCAGACAGTCCTGCTGAGGCTACAGTGACATTATAGATACTAGGCAATACACCCCTTGTGAGAACTGTACTCCCAGAAGCTGGAAGACAAAAGTGATCTTCCTGATGGGGCACAGTTCCACCCCATTTTCCCATGGCTGGTTAAGGAGCACGACTCTTTCCAGAATTTGTGCCAAGACTACACTAAGGAGCCCCATGAGGCAGTTAAACTACAGTACTGTAGTTAGGACTCTGTTCATGATCTGTGTTTGATCCTGATAGCTCATAGTTGACTCAGCCTTCCAAGGTCCAATAAATCTAGCTTGCTGGGGAGGGGGCACCATATAGCCTGCATGATTAAAATTGTAAAGTGCCCACAGAGTGCTCTTGGGGTGGTATATAAGCCGGGTTTACTGTGCTGTGTTTTGCTTTGCTTTAAAAAGCATGTTTCTGAGAACTGCCTTTGTCCAGGAAATCTTTGAAATCTCAACAAAACATTCAAAATCCACTTCCCTGTTGGAGCATCTCTTCGGAACCTGTTGGCAGGGGGTGGGGGTGTTGGCTAGTGGAAAGGCAACTGAAAGCATCCCCATGAGAGGATGACTGTGAAAAGGAACTTAAAATGGGAAGTGTCATGATGTAAATTTCTGCCTCCCATACACAGGAACAAACCAAGACAAAAATAAACCATGACGTGCACTAAGGATTAAAAAGAAGAAGGAGGAGGAGGAGAACCCCTTTATGAAAAATTTACAGTATTCACTGGGATAAGGGAAACGTCATGTGGATGGGAGGGAAAGGCCTGATCCGAATAAGGCCTTTTACTCCCAAGCGGTGGAGTTGGGGGTGAGGCCCCTCCCTAGCGTAAGTCAACAGACCACAGGTAAACAGAAGATCCTGGTGATACTGGGATGAGAAAACAGCGTCTGTTGCCAGTAGCTCTTCATTTTCACTTTAGATGTCCTGCTGCCTCCTCCTTCGTTTGGATCCCCTCGGGCCCATCACTCAGAGTCAGCAGAAGGCAATCTTGTGAGCACAGGTTCCCCCCTTTCAGACCTTCGTACCCATTCCCACCCACTTAATGACTCTGGAGTAGCTCATATAGCTCAGGTGGAGAGACTAGTTTTCCTGAGGATAGTTCAGCATCACAAGGCTTCATGGTTATGGTTTCCTCAAGGAAGGAACACCAGACAAAAAGTATTTAATTGAAAGACAAAGCAAGATTTCCTCCCAGTTTAACACAGTCCAGGCACTGGGGTTATATCCCCCTTGTCCGTCTTAACCCTGTTGATTTCTTCCAACTCTGAATTATGGCTTCTTCCAAGACCTTTGCCTAGAGAGGCAGTGACTGGATTTGTTTCCACCAAAAGTAGACCCTACGCTTAGCATGTTTTTAGAAGAGGTGCTCCCACAAGCGGTGAAAGGCATCTGTTTGTCACAGCACCTGTTTGCCTTCAAATGGCCAGTCAGAAAGCAAGCTGTGTAGGTAAATTGGAAGCGGTGCTCTCACAGACATTTTTCACTAAATAAGCATGAGGTTGGGACCTCGCCTTCTGAGCTTTGTCGTGCGTGTCGAAAGGGAAGTATAATGTGCAGTGTTAAGCACTGGAACTGACTTGCTTAAAAATGCTTACACCTCACTGAACATGAGTATTTTTTAAGAACATATAATAAACATACACACAAAGAGAGACGTGTTTCTGTTGTGTGTTCCCTCCCCCTCAAAGCACCACTTCTCTAACCCATGTTTCCTTCCTCTTAATACCAGCTGCTCAGGCAGAGCGGAAGGTCCCTTGAGACTTAGGATTGCAACCCATTCCCCAAAATGTCAGGTTTGAACCCCGAGAGTAGCGAGGATGTGATGGGAGCCCCTGCAATGTCACAGAAGCAGATCAGGCAAAGGGAGAGGCATTTGTGTTGCACGAGTGTCCTGCTAAGCCAGCGAGCCCTGGTGCTGGCCAAGGAAGGGGTGGGGGTGGGTCCCTGGCTTTGATGCCACCCCCCACCCAAAAATCAAAGCAAATCTTCCCCTCCAGGGCTGATCGCCCTGAGATTTGTCCCCCCTGCCTGGAGACCCACAGAAACAGGTCTGTTTCCCCAGACACACCAAACAGGGTCCTCAGCCCTAGCAGATTCCCTGAGATGCAATGGGGTGCCCCTTGATGAGCCAGGTTGAGGTGTTAAGATCATCAGGAGAGGCCTTTTTCTCAGTCCCATCATCCTCACAGGTGCGTTTGGTGGGGACACGGCAGAGGGGCTTCCTCTGTGGCTGCTCCTGGAACTCTCTGCCACTGGAGGCCAGGCTGGTCCCATCTTGGCTTTCCTTCCATCTTTGCCGGCCAAGAGTTTTCTCTCCAGGCAAGCTTTCCCTCAATAACTCGGGACCTGTGTGTGATTTTTAGATGGACAGTTACACATTACCGCTTTGAATGTGCTTTTAGTATTGCTTTTGTTTAGCATTTCTAGGAGTGGTATTTATTTGTTCTAGAGTAGTAGAGTAGTCTTAGAATGAGCTGGAATTGTCGGCATGAAACAGCGATGTCTATGTTGGCTTGGGCATGTTGTGAGAATGGCTGACGGTCGGATTCCGAAATATCTCCTGTATGGAGAATTAGTGCAGGGAAATCGCCCCAGAGGGAGACCACAGCTGCGACACAAGGAGATCTGCAAGCAGGATCTGAAGGCCTTAGAAATGGACCTCAACAGATGGGAAACCTTGGCCTCTGAGCTTTCGGCCTGAAGGCAGGCGGTGCAGCATGGCCTCTCCCAATTTGAAGAGACCCTTGTCCAGCAGGCCGAGGCAAAGAGGCAGTCCTGAAAGCAGCAAAATCAGGGAGCTGGATAGGGTACAGATTGTATTTGTCTTCAGTGTGAAAGGGATTGCCACTTTCGAATTGGCCTCCTCAGTCACACTAGATGCTGTTCCAAGACCTCTATGCAGAAAATGTTACCATAGTCTCTCGAGACTGAAGGATGCCTAGATTTATTTGTTCCTTTTTCGTTTTTGTATATGTATAATTTTCGGCTTTAAATATTGACTTTGAATGTTGTAAAACCACCTTGGGTCCTTTTTTCAGGAGAAACGCGGGGGTGAATGAATGAATGAAGAAATAAATAAATTTATTTCTGGTGTTCCAAGAAACAATTTTGTCTCCACAGACTACAGGAACAAGTCCATCTGCTCTATGTTGGCTTGCGAATGTGACGAGCAGGCGGCCTATTGTTTCAGCCAGGAAGCCAAAAGCTACAACCGAAAATGGCGCCATTACCCCGGCATCCTCTGTAAAGAACCCACCCCGAAATGTCCTGAGGAAAAAAACGATCAGGGCAACGAGTCTTCTTCCACCAACCAGAGCCGTCAACAAGAGTCGGGAGGCTCTCAAACGAGAACGAATCCGGCCCTAATTTTGCAACTGAAATGAAAAGCTTGCAAGAGTTCTGAATACGGTCACGGTGAGAATTTTTGGAAAGCTTTACATTTCAAGGTTGTTTAACATTAAAGTTGATTTTCAGTAGGCTTAAAAAAAAAAGAAAGAAAGAAAGAAGTAGCCGTTGCATCTTAAGTAATAATTTGCACGATCCATACATGGACACTTTTTTTGTTTCTTAAAACAGAAAGAATAAACTCATTGTTTCATTATTATTTTTAATTGGTTGGTTCTGATTATTTTTGCACTACTGCTACTGTGAGGGAGAAACCGAAGGCCACTGACTGGAACGTTTGGGAAGCGAACAGCAGGCGGAGGATCGTGTGCTATCACAGCCATGCACTTTGAATTGCTCTCTCAAATTCACTTTGAATTTCTCCCTCAATGTGTTTTTTCTGTCATTGTGAGGAGTTTATTTGGTTTCTGTGGTTCTTTGTGAGTGGGAAAGGTGTCCAGTTTTGGACACCGCACTTTAAGAAGGATGCTGACAAACTGGAAGAAGTTCAGAGGAGGGCAACAAGGCTGATGATCAGGGGGCTGGAAAGCAGACAGAAAGAACTGGGCGAGCTTAGCCTTGAGAAAAGAAGATGGAGGGGAGAGAGCTCTTTTTAAAGACTTGAAAGGTATTCATACAAAAGAGGGGCAGGATCAGTTCTCCATCATCCCAGAGTGCAGGACATGCAATAACGGGCCCAAGTGAAAGAAAGCTAGGTTTAGTCTGAATATTAGAGAAAACTTCCTGACTGTTCAAGTAGTACGACAACAGGACCCATGGCCTTAGGAGGAGAGGGTGGGCGCTCCCACGCTGGAGGCCTTCAAGAGGAAATGGGACAGCCCTCTGTCAGATCTGCTTTGATTTGGGTTCCTGCACTGACAGGATTTGACGCCTTATAGGCTCCTTCCAAGTCCATTATTCTATGAAAAGCCACATTATCATCCTCAACCACTTCTACCCCCAGACCTTGAAAACCAGTGGGTACAAATACCACGTTGCTTTCCTTACACTTTAATTATGGTACATTCTCTTCCAGGAAGAGCGTTTATATTCCTTTACACTCCCTCTCTCATTCAGATCATAACAGAAATTCCTGCAAGATCCAGATGACGTTCCTCTCATCTGACTTGATGGGTGGTGTTTTTTTTTCTTGATTTCCCAGACTTTTTTTTTAAAAAAATTCTTCTCCAAATTCTGGGTAAGGAGTTTAGCATTATGGCACCTTCCAGCAGCCTGAGCCCTCACCCATCAGCCACCAAAAGAAAAAACACCCCAGCTGAAGTTAAGATGTGATTGTTCAGAAGAGGGGGAAGAGAGAGAGAAAAGGAGAACCAGAGCAGTGGGTTTATGATCCTTTCCACCCATCTCCCCTATGTCTAGAGGCAAATTATAGCAAGGATGATGGAACTGTTAGATGCAGATTGTGATAAGCAGCTATCGTGCCCACTGCTTGATATATTCAGGTGTGTATGTGTTGCATGGCAAAACTCTTTTTATATCAAAGCTGCGTGTTCATTTCCAGAGCTTTTTGAGCTGGCAGGGGTAGAGGTGGCTTGTGACTCCAATTTGGAGGATGCAAAAATCCACTCCTGGTTTTAGTTTGCCCGTTAAAGGGGTCATTCTGGTTGGTGGGCCCCATTGAGTCTAAGGACCTTGGAGAACTCCTCGGGTAAAGTGCAGAGTAAAACCTGGAGTGGATTTGGAACACTGCTGAAATTGGAGTCACCAGGAGTCGCTGGACAGGGGCGGGTGGGAAATCCAGCCACCTACTAACTAGTCAACAGGTCAGGAGCCCCACCAGCCCTGTCTACCCCACCCAGCCCCATAGGTACCAGCGGGAGGACCACGAGTCTGGACGAGTGCTGGCCTCTCTCGGCTCTTATCCAACTAAAAAGAAAACAGTAAAAAGTGTCTCTGATGGGAAGAATCCAGAGCCACTCCCCATGGCTAAGCTTGGGAACCACAGCAATAAAGCAGCATTGACATATTTTCGGTGAAGGTGAAAACCCAAATCGGCCTCATGGGCTTCTTAAAAGGGGAAGGAAGATCAGTGACAAAAGACTTCTTCATAAGAATTCCCCAAGGGCCGGGAATACCCTTGGCTTTGTATATAAGTCAGTTTGGCCATCAGACCTTGCCCTCTGCACTGCAAAAATTAGATGCCCAGAAAAGGTACGTGACCGAGCAAAGGCACCCAGATTTGTTTTCTTCACTCTCCTGGGGCAAAAATGACTCTCCTTGCGTTGGTGATGTTCCTCTTGACTTGGGGTAAGTGCCAAGACGTGGGATGCACACTGTTCTTTCCATCCTGCTGCCGAGTAATCCCGCCCTGATTCAAAAAGGCCACAGAGCTCGAAGCCTAGGAAGCCGCCCTTTCCAGAAGGATGGAAGTGGGGGGTCCTGTAATATGTGGGGTCCACGTGAACCCCAGGGTCTGACCTCCCACAGACTTCAAAAACTTTACACAGACACCCCACCCAAAAGGAAGGAAGGAAAAGAGATAAGAGGAAGTAAGAAAGGCAGGGAAAGAGAGTGGAGGAAGTAAGGAAAGAAGGAGAAGAGAGAAAGGGGGAAGGGAGGAAGGAAGCCCAAGGGGGTTTCATGGAAAAGGAAATAGCCATTTTCTGAGTTCTGTTTTGTTTATGTTGTTGTTGTTCTGTGGGACTGGTGTGGTCTCAAGGCTGGAAGACGCATAGGATAGTGGTTCCCAACCTTTGGTCTCTATGAGTGAGCCCGGGAAAAGGTTCCTTTTTTGGAACGTGCCCTGAAAAATATATTTTTCAACTCTAGCCAATAGAGGAAAAGCACGATTTCTCTCTCTCTCTCTCCCCACCCCATGTGCCATCCAAAAAACACAAACTTTCCTGTGTTTATGCATGTGGGATTTCAGGAAGCAGGACAGCCGCTCTGATTCCCCAGGTTCTCCGTTCTTGGGACGGAAAAATATCTGTCCACGTTCCTTTCTTCCACCTCAGAAATGTTCACACTCCCTCGTCCTTCTTATCCCAAATGGGGGGAAGCGAGTGAATATTTCGGTAAATCCTTCAAAGACAACCTGAAGTGAAATGATTCACACCCGCACCGCCCAAATTTGACAGAGGCCATGGCCAACAGGGAGAAAACTGGGTCATCTCAGCTGCTCTCCCTTGTAGCTGTTAAAGGTTAGCTGCATTTTAAAAAAAGTTGGAGACCCTAATGCAGTGGCTTACATGGTTAAATATAGCATGGATGTCCACCAGAGGAAGAGAAAAGGGAGCCATTTGCCCAGAATCCTATGGTTATATCCATAATACAGAGACACGTGTCCAGCTACTCAGCCAGAGGTGCAGAAAGAGCACTTAGTAGAGTCAAACTCTCTGCACATGTTCTGAGACAGTCTCTCTGGGCCAGCGAGGCAGCAAAAAGCAAAGTGTGCGGCTTATATACCGACCCATGGTGCTTAAAGCTCTCTCTGGGCGGTTTACAGTCTTAATTGTGCAATCTACACACTGCCCACCTTGGGTACTCCATTTATGGATCTCAGAAGGATTGAACACGGAGTTTATTTATTTATTTATTATTTATTGACTTTGTACCCCGCCCATTTAGGCAACTGACTACTCTGGGCGGCTAACAACATATAACCTCAAGCTAGCTCCCTGAATCCGTTGGGATCCGATTCCCAGATCATGAGCAGAGTCTTGGTTGCAGTACTGCAGTTTAACCACTGTGCCAGGGGGCGCCTTTTGAATTACATCACTTTAAACACTTAAAAATAAGGGGGGAAATAGAAGAGAGCTAACGCAATAGTTCCAGTTATGGGTCCCCAAATGTTATAGCAGTCATCATTTCCCCCGATCATTGACAATGATAGCCTCATGTGATGGGATGCGTCGTCTTCTCTGGTAAACTAAGGTATAGAACTGCTTCCCCTTTGGAAGTGAAATACCTGGGAAATTTTAAGTTGAGACGGATTTGGGGAGCCTAATCTAGCAAAGATGGGGATAAGAGTCTTGCTTTTATTTTATTTTTGGCAATGGAAATTGTCACCTCTCTGACTCGTTTCCAGGTCTAACTGGCACAGGCGGAAGTCTCCTAGAACTTGCACAGATGATCAAAGACGTTACAGGGAAAAATGCTGTACCACATTATTCCAGCTATGGGTGTTATTGTGGATTGGGTGGCAAAGGAACGCCACTAGATGAAACTGACCGGTAAGCTTCCAGATAATCCATATGATGGGGTTTGTGTTACAGAGTGTTAACTTTCTGATAAAATTCCTTTTTTTTACTATGCGTATAGTATAGAAGTATAGAGACTCACAGAGGAGAATAGTTACAAGTTCACCCAATGGTCCACCCCTCTCTCATTAACTGGCACTTTATGCCTTGACAACATTTGTAAGAGAAAGAATAAAAAACATTTCTTACAACTGCTTAAAAAATTACAAATGTGTCTGCTGCTTTCTTTTTTGCACTCATATTATCAACCAACCGTACAGATCAACAGCAAACAGACTCCTCCCAACTGACCAAAGACAGGGAAAAAGCACCTAGCAGATAGTACGCAAGGTTCATAAAAACCAGTTAGCACTAAGTCAGTCATGTCTAAAGAATAAGCAAGCATTTGCCTGTGGCTCACCTAGATATACTTTAAGAATACTTGCATTTACAAATCTCTGCTCACCATTTCTGCTCTCTGGAACACCTCTAGGCAGTGTCGCTTCTCAAAGGCACGCTGTTCCTTCCCGTACAAATTGCAAATTCCATCAGTGTCTGTGCACAAACCAAGAGTGGAAACATTCAGAAACAGGAAGAGGGTGCCCACTTACTATGTCCATTTTGTTTACGTAATCCCAGAAAACAAGGGTGTAAGCATTACCCACCCCCCCACCCCAAGAGAGTCCCCTTGGCCCACCAAGTGGCATGTAAGTTCAAAGACCAGTGATTGTATACATATAATTTTAAAATGTACAAGATATATATATATATATTCCATTCTCTCTCATTCTTCCTAAGAACTGAATTTTAAATTGCGCCATATTAAGACAGCCTGATCCCAGGATCAGGCTGTCTTAATATGGCACAATTTAAAATTACGGACCTGTATGAAATCCGGGTAAAATTAAAATGTTCAGATAATTAGACTAGTTTTGACCAGAGGCAGGCTTCTTCAATAGCATTATCTCAGCCATTTGCTAGATCTTCTTTTGCACGTGTGGTGGGGCATAAATTGCACGCACGTATGTGCTGCATGGATTGAATTTCGCCCCAGTCACAGGAATTTTGTCCTGGATCCAAGAAGCCTCATTTTACTTGCTGATTCTTTGACGCTGTCCTGGTGGGAGACACTCTTCGGCGTTCATCAGTTCGGCCAGGTGTGCTGTGTTTGTTCTCCGTAGGTTTAGCCTCGTCTCTCCTGGTTCCCTATTTGGTGTGCAGAAAACTTTTCCTCATTTTCAGCCATCGTCGAGGGGGTTGGGTGCCCACAAAGTGGGTGGGTCTGACGTTGTGTTCACTTATTTCGTTCGTCATTTATTAGCGGCTTGCTCTGTCCAGGTTGCAGTGCAGAAGAACATGTGATAGTGAGCCCCATGTCCTAGCCAGAGGCTGGACCATCGGGAAGTCACTTAATAGACTTCGAAGTCACATAGGAAGATCAAAGAATCAGCAAGTAAAATGAGGCTACTTGGATACAGGACAAAATTTCTGTGACTGGGGGGAAATTCAATCCATGCAGCACATATGTGCGTGCAATTTATGCCCCACCACACGTGTACAAAAGATTTAGCAAATGGCTGAGATAATGCTATTGAAGAAGCCTGCCTCTGGTCAAAACTAGTCTAACTACTGAATTTTGGCCACATGGCTTTTCCCGTCCAGTTTCGTGGAAAGGTGCTGTGTCAGCTTGAACGCAAACGCAGCTCCTTACAATTGCTTGAGTGCGATTCTGCTCCAGTGGCTCTGCTGCCTGTCGGCTCTCCCACCGTTTTCCTTTTCCCTCCTCAGCTGCTGTTACGACCACGACCGCTGCTACGACCGAGTTGATGCAGAAGGATGCGATTCCAAAGCCACCTTTTACCACTACTCAGTGCACTCAGGGAAAGTCAAATGTGGTGAGCCGGCCACGAGACAGAGGCGTAAACTCTCCTCGCTTCAATGCAGGGGGCGGGAGGTCTCCGATGTTCCCCGGCCCTCCCAACGGACTGTATTGCGCCCAGAAACAACAGTTTGGGGCCCTTTGGGGTTTCAAAATGTAAACAGGAAGTGTCTGGGTGGCATTTCTTCTTCCCTCTACCATCTATAGGATTGGGGGGGCACATCCATAGCCACGTGACGTCCTCCTGTTCCAATGCAAAATATTTAAGGATGTTCTTAAGCGAGCAGTCAAGACCCGTTAACTATACAAAAGACCTGCCTCTGGTAGAGAGGAAATCCAAACAGAATTGGTTTGCTGATCAGCTGAACTCGAATGAGCCGCAACAGCCGGGCAAGCGTTGGCTGAAGAGAAAACAAGTCCCCCAAAGCTTTGGGGGTCGTAGATTCATGCACCCTGCTCTCATCAGAGCTTAGGAAAAGCCAGGAGGCTGAACTACAGTTCCCAGACGCCCCATGAAAGCACCACTAGATCTGGGCTCCAGGAACTGCAGCCCTTAACAAGTTCTTTTCCTTCGTCCTAACGTCTTGTCCTTGTCTCTTTCTCAGGTGGTGGGGAGTGGTGGAGAAAACGGATATTTGGCCACCAGCCGCCGTGTGAGGGGGAGATCTGTGAATGTGACAAAAGACTGGTGCTCTGCCTGAAAAAGCATGTCAAGAGCTACCGAGCAGCTTACCGCTTCTATCCGAACTTTCTCTGTTTTGGCCCAATGCGTCGGCACTAGGGGAGCAGCCAGGAAGCGGGGAGGGGAGGGGCCCCGGATGCGAATCTCTCCTTCCCAAGGAAAGGAGCCCATCTCCCTTAAAGCCACCCCCACCCCCCGGGCATTGGTCCAGCCTGGCCCCAGGAAGCAGCAAGCCCTACAGCCGGGCCAAAAACTACCAGCTTAGGCATGGATCCAGGTCAGGATGGAGCCTGTTTCCCTGTCTGTCATATGACTGATGGGAAACCGATCACCACAGACCACGATCAGTCCAAATGGTGATCTATTTCCCCTTGTGATCCCACAAACCCAATGCACTTTTTAGTCTTTCTGGTGGGAGAGTGGGAGGATCGGTGCCTCCAGAAAACACATTTTCCTCTAGCCCAGAAGCATTGCATCAACATTGCTTGTTTCATGTTTTGAAGTTTCACCTACGTTTCATATACGTCCCTCGTTTTAAATGGGGCAACGCTCCAATACAAGAAGGAACCGCATGCGCGGGAATCCTAACGTACCATATACAGGACATGTTTTATGGATGGATCAAACCATAGTCACAGATGCCCTTCCCCGGAATTAGACGTCATTCAAGGAAAAGTTAATGCCATGACGATGTACCAAATATCTGTACAGTATTGCCTGATCGGCGAAGAAGAAAAAGTATCATGAAAGAAGGAAAGAAGGAAGGAAATAAATAACTGAATGAATGAATGAATGAATGAATGAATGAATGAATGAATGAATGAATGAATGAATGAATGAATGAATGAATGAATGAATGAATGAATGAATGAATGAATGAATGAATGAATGAATGAATGAATGAATGAATGAATGAATGAATGAATGAATAAATAAATAAATAAATAAATAAACCATGCTATCGAATCTATGGTGACCCTTTCCAAGGTTTTCTAGATATAGAGTGCTCGGGGTTGGTTTAGCCCTCCCTTCTTCAGGGCTTGCCCTGGGATGGTGCAGTTTGCCCAAAGCTACACAGACTGGAAGGGACACCCTCTGGATCATGGAGTCCAGCCCCTGTCAAGGAGATCCAGTGGAGGAATTGAACTCGCAACCTCCAGCTCCTCAGCCACTCAGCCATCCAGCCAGCCAGTAACTGTGTGCTGTCAAGTCAATTCTGGCTTCCGGTGGCCCTTTTTCAGATTTTCCAGGTAGAGAAGTGGTTTATCACCGTTCCTTTCTTCCAGGGGCGCCCTGGGAATGCGTACAGTTTGCCCAAGGCCACCCAGGCTAGCTCTTCTCCCAGAAAGCACAGTGGGGGAATCGAACTCCCAACCTTTCGCTCCGCAGCCAGAGGCCTGAACTCCTGAGGCTCTAGCTTCCAGATGGTTTGCCCAATGTGGCCAAAGTGTTTAGGCCAGATTTCTCGCTCCTCTGAGGGGCTTTATTCTGAGTTCTGTAAAAGAGGGTTCCCGGTGTCCACGGCTTCCGTTCTTTCAACATAATGAGGTCACCGGGGCACCGAGAGACCGGTTGTCTTGCTGGGCAAGAACTGCCTAGAGGTGTTTCGACTCCGTAACCTGTTAGAAGAGGAACTTGCTGATTCACATGGTGACCGTAATACAGGAAAACAAGTGTTTCCCAAAACTTTCCATAACCCCCAGCCTACTGATAACCCAGGGCGAGAGCATATAAAACCCCTAGCAGCCAAAGGAGGACCATAGGAGAAGCCAGGCGTGATTCGAACCTCCAAGACGTTTTAAAAGGCAGAAGTAAGTAAGTACTATCTTGATTTTCCCAGTCTGGAGGCGATGACTTAAAACACATCCTTCATACAATCACCTGGAAACCCTTTGTCTACTGCCCCTCTATCTGTCTGTTGTTCTCGCAGCTTGGAAAAGTTATTGTCATTATTCCTGGGTTGTTTTTTTGGACAACTCCCCAAATTCCTCCGGCTAACCTGGGTTTCCACTGTCCCGTCTTCCGATCTATTTCTCGGCCTTAAGGTTTCCCATCTGAAAAGAGGCTGGCCGCCGGGTCTTCGGCTCATCGTTGTTTCTCAACGTGCCTCAAAGGTTGAATGTCCTGGTTTCTACTAGTGTGATCTTCGCCAACTGTCTTTCCCTTGCTCTTTGATTTTTTTTTCTATTTATGAGCACAGAGATCCGTCAAATTCGTCTCCCTGCTTCAGCTTGAAGGATAGATTTTGCACACGATATAACCCGCCCCAGATAAATATATTCATAGGTTTATTCTATATGACAGCCATCGGTTACAACATTCTGATTTTCTTCTTGGTTGGACTTCACTTGTTCAGTTTAGTTTTAAACTTCAACTTTCTCCCGCCCAGTTTTCTATTCAGGGATGGGGGCCTGAGTCAAGGAACTTGCTCTCAAGTCGGGGTTTGTTGTTTTTCAATGACTCGGAATCAACTTATGACACAGAACCACCCACTCCTCCCTCTTTTTTTCTGGGGGAAGAAGGTTATTTTTAATAGGGACACAGACGTGGGGCTTTGGACTCGGGGCTGAGTGCCAGAGAGTTGGACTCGGGACTTCGGACCCAAAGACTTGCCAGGATCCCTTTTTTCAACTCTTTCAGCGCATTTTGTAAGTCATCAAAGTCGTCTGCTATGGCTGTTATACCACAGAACCCATGTATCATCCACAACATCGGAGAATGCCATGTGTTTGGAGCAAAAATGTCCCGTATTGTTTGGTAGCAAGCCTGGATGCCAAAAAACAAGAGGGGCGTGTTCTGATGATCAATGGATTCGCCTCCTCTGGTCCGACACCAGATCTTACTGTGGGTTCCAGATATGCAAGACCTTAAAGCTCTCCCTAATTACAGCTTTCCTGCCTGCTCCCAATTCACTGAAAATACCCCGAAGGTCATTCTGTAGAAATGTTTTTGAGTTTTCACCCAGTTGCTTCACCACTTTTCTGAGATTGGACCTTTCTGCGGACAGCCGTCCAGGGAGCTCCGTCTCCTCTCTTGCCTAAGACATGCCAGTTTCATCATCTTCCTGTAATTACTCAGCCTCAGGAAAGCGTAGAGACCCGTGGGCCAAATTTGTTTCCTGTTTGTCACTTGAACTGGAAAAGTTCACTTTCCTGGGTTACGACTGCCATCAATTTCCTAGCCAGCAGGAAATCCGAGGAATCCTGATCGAAGAAAGAAACTTGTCTAAAACCTGATTCTTACCTTCACTTGAGAAGACCCTGTTGACGGCCATTCTCAGCTGGGTTGTTTTATTGACTCTTCCTTATAGGTAAAAGCAAAATAAAAGTTTTTAAAAAGAGAGAAAAGAACAGCACAAATAAAAAGGCAAAAATGTGGTGTTGCCTTAAAGACCAACTTTATATACGTAATTTTTTTAATGTGAGATTTCGTGGACGAGTCCCCTTCGCCTTCCTTGTGACCCCAGCCTGCGTACGCCTACTTGGAGGTGCCCTGCGATGAAACCAAACTGAACGTTTACTTCTGAGTAAATCTGTAGGGTCTTTACTTTCCTTCTCACAGCGACCTCTGTCAATGGATTCCACTCACAATAGCATGGAGGCTGGCTGATACATATAATAGTGTCTGGTTATTCCCTTCTTCTTTTTTTTAACCACACAGATTCTTATCAGGAAATGAAGATCCATTGGGGACTGATGGTGCTGCTCATTTATGGTGAGTGGAATTAAAAAGAAAAATTAAAGAAGGACAAACCAATGATGGATGAATTAGTAGGCTACTAGATGGCCTACTTGGGAACAAAGAAACAAGATAGTGGTTACTAATACTAGGGATGAAATGTTTTTAATTTGCTAGACTACGAATATCATAATCTCCATTCTGGGAGTTCTACCTGCCTTATAAGGCACTTTGCAAATTCCTCAATGTGATGAACTTAGAAAAAAAAGACCTAAACCTTAAGGTTTTGAGGCTTAGCTAGGCCTAGCTCTCCCTAGCTTCCTATTCAGAAAGAAATTTCCCAGCTAGCACTGGGGCAGGAAGAGGAAGTTTGAAGGGAGCTAGGCCTAGCTAAACCTCAAAGCTTTCTGAAAGCTTCCTGGTTTAGGCCTTTTCCCCCTGTGAGCCACATTCAAGTCTTTACAAGGTGTCTGTGAGATATTGTAGAACTCCCATAATGGAGAATTGTGGTATTTGTAGTCCAGAAAATTCCAAACTCAGCTGTCATCACAGGTGTGTGGATTATCTTTTGTGTGCATGGGTATGGGTGTATGTGCTAAAATAGCCTTAGGATTAATTTTTTAAAGGGCATAAATATTTTTCCATTCTGGGAGAAGCTTCAAGTGTTGACAGACAGCTGTTCCCCTTTTCCAAGAAGGAAAACATTGGAGGAAAAGGAGGGGAAAAGCGATGGGATTGCAAACCCATTATCACAATATCTGTGATAACACTTTGGACGGATCCTTCCTTCCCCCCACTGTACCTCCCCAAAAGCAAAAAAGGCAGTGTCATAATACAAAAGTTTCTTTTGGTTTGTAACTGAGTTCACCTGTGCTCATCCAGTCGGCTGACAAGACAGGAAATGACGCACTGTGGTTGAAACACTTTTTTGCAAATAGAGTAGGATCATTGTCTCAAAGGAACTTAGAGAGGAGTTGACTCACCAAATCCTTGTTAATTCAATGGGCCTACTCACAATGCGACTTGCTACTCTAAGCAACAGGATTCCATCTGAAGTTTGTATTTTATCCACTGCATTACAGTCCCAAGTTCCCAAAAAACAATGCTGATCTTTACTTTGACTTATAAAAATCAAATACAGTAGGATCCCCATATCCAGGGGGGATTGGTTCCAAGCACAAACCCACAGATCCTGAAAACCACAGGTAACAGCAAATGCTACACTAGCACGGTAAAAGAAAAAAAATTCCAAAAATATGATTTTCACTGTATAGTAGCAGAAGTGGCCACTAGTGGGAGCCAGAGACCCTGCTATGAATTCTTCAACAAGAATACATAGTATGGTTTCTGGCACCCACTAGTGGTCCATTCTGGTAACTACATTGTGAAAATACGTATTTCTAGAGTTTTTAATATAGTTTTGATATTTTTCAGACTGCATTTAAGTGAAACCATGGATTCTGATTCCTCGGACACGGGGTCCTTACTTGTACTACAAATTACTACAACTCTTGATAGTTATCAATCACACAGGAAGTTTTAATTCTTTGGTTTTAGAAGACACTGATTGATGGAGTCAGGGCATGAAAGAATCTCCACACTGATGCCAGAAGCAAGGCGATAGAACAGTCCCTTTTAATACCTGGGGTTTAGAAACAACTGGTTGTAAATAATGAGTTATTTATCCTATTTGCATGTAATTCCTTTTTCCCGTGACAGATGTACAGCTAAGTTACATTATTATGACCATGTCATAAGGGGTATGTTCACTAGCTTTGCAGAGAAACTATAACTTTTAGCCACTTTTATAGCTCCCAATGTTGAAAGGCTGTTTTGGGCTTGGCTTTCCACTGCATGTTTTTCTTGAAATACATGTTGAAGCATCTATTTTAAGGTCAGATTAGAAGTTAAAGGGAAATGTATGTTCCCTGCAATTAACATATTTTCTCTCCACTAAGGGGTTTCCCCAGAAATCTATACCTAGGCAAGCAGACTTGCCCAAATGAGTTTTATGTTAAGCCCCAAAGGACCAGTCACAGAACAACGCTCTGCTATATGCAAGATATGGAAACTTCATGCTATGACAAAGAGATGGCTTTCTGCACTTGAAGAAGGACCCCTTGTAAATACATGCTCTTGTCTAGGATGGTCCTCAGCTGCTTTTGAGAAAACCTGGCATGCCTCGCAAGTGTCCCTGTAACTTACAGATTTTTAACAATGACTTCCAAAGCTCTGCTAATATTCTTACCACTCTACAACTTTTTTCATAGGTGTTTTGAAAGCCAATGGGGGCATTTTGGAATTTGGAGACATGATCCTAAAACTTACTGGGAAAACATCGTTCCCGTACTATACCGGTTACGGCTGTTACTGTGGGCTGGGTGGAAAAGGAAAGCCACGGGACGCCACGGACAGGTAACTCAGTGATGGCTGAACGTCGTACTTCTCGAAGGCTTGGAACAGTTACATTTTTGGATGACGGTCTGTTGTTTGGTACTTAAGAATTCTCTGCTGTGGTTCAGGGAAGGGCAGGAGCTCTCTCTCTCTCTCTCTCTCTCATCCAGTAGATGGTGAAGGTGGGATCAGACAGGTATAACAGTGCAGTTTAGCCCAGACCACACACCTAGACCCCCACCTTCACCAGAGAGCATCAAGCCATGCTACAACATTGCAGGACTGGCTTCCGTGCCATTGATAAAATGCCTTCTCTGTAGATCCAAGGCCATTATAACCGCTTGGCATTTCATGTCTTATGAAATGCTGGGATCTGTACTTTGGAGAGGGACTCTGAATCCTCTGCTAGAGCGCTCTGGCGAAGCATCGCAATAGGATCCCCCTATTCGTTCTAAGTCCCCCGTGGATACTGAAAAACGTGGACAACAGTGAATGTTATTTTATTAACAAAGGCAATACATAGCATAGCCTCTGTCTCCCTCTAATGGCAAATTCTGGTAACTTTATTATTAGAAATATAGATTTCTAGGTTTTTTTTTTCTTTTAATATTTTTATTATTTTCAGACCGTGAATAAGGGAGTCAGCACATATTGATCCCACGGGTACAGGGATCCTACTACTGTATATTTTCTTGGAAGTGTTGTGTATATGGGCCAGTGACTCAGGCTGACTCATGCTGGAAACCAAATCTCGGGAGGGTTGTCCTCCTTCATGCTTTCTTCTTCTTCTTCTTCTTCTTCTTCTTCTTCTTCTTCTTCTTCTTCATCCACGCTTATTTAACATCCTGTCACCTGGATTCAGCTTATAATCATTTGTTAATACAACTACAATACATATTAAGCTCTTAATCTATACGTGCTTCTAACCATTGACAAAACATGTTTGCTAATATTCTGCATCTTCCTTCGCTTATTTAACATCCTGTCACCTGGATTCAGCTTATAATCATTTGTTAATACAACTACAATACATATTAAGCTCTTAATCTATACGTGCTTCTAACCATTGACAAAACATGTTTGCTAATATTCTGCATCTTCCTTTATTTATTTATTTATTTATTTATTTATTTAATTTATACCCCGCCTATCTGGCCCACCGGACCACTCTAGGCGGCTTCCAAATATAAAATCAAATAATAA